ATTGATATTTTAAATTGCAACTAAGTAATTCAAAATATGGTTTCAAAATTATTGAGGAGCTATAGCCTCCAGCAGCCACCCCCCTCCCCCCACAGAGCTCTGTGGTCCCTGCATCGCTAGGTTTCAGTCAGCTGTTAAAAGTCATTGAATCCCACTGTCTACTTAAAAATTATTTTGTCTGTACTTTTTTGCTGTTTTTGATTTAATTTGATTATCTTTTTGCTTTTTATTTGTATATAGTGTTGATGAATCCATTGATTTACCGATTCGGAAATGCCTTTTTAGTAAAGATATGTATGATCTTTACTGCCTCATTCCATCGGTAAGTTGTGATATTTTAATTGTAATAAGTTATTTATCATTATTATTTTAAACTTGAGTATAGGGTTTTGCACACTGTGATCCATTGGTCAAGGGATCAGTGATTATGAGACAATATTCACTTGGTTCGGAGAGGAAGTAAAATAATAAAAATAGAAATAATACTAAAATAAAAAATAAAAATAAAATGGTATTTAGCAGTGGCATTTCATTTCTGTAATTCCAATTGAAATTTAGGAGTTGATTTTTGTAGAGGGAGGAAAACCAGAGAACCCGGAGAAAACCCCTTGAAGCACAGGAGAGAACCAACAAACAACTCTACTCACATACGACACTGAGCTTAGTGGGACTCGAACCCGGGTCGCATTGGTGAGAGGAGAGTGCTCTCACCGCTACGCCACCCGTGCTTCCCTAAAATGTTTTTTTTACCCTAAATTTTGTCATTTCTCTAATATCAAAGTCTTAAATTATGCTTAAACAATATGTGAACATATATACCTTGACTTTGTCTCAGTGAACATGCACTATATATAACCACTTAACCATCCAAGAATAATTGTTAATTAACCATAACTATAACATAATATTAATATACCATTATCATTGACTATTGTGAATCTTGCATTCTGATTGGCTATATACAGGGTGCTGAGGAGAAATTCTAGTGCATCTAACAAATTAGGTAAATGGTTTGTACGTTTACTGAGCAATCTCCTGGGTTATCTGGCCACATATGAGTGATATTGACAGATTATATATCCAATTCTCTTGAGTATTATTCTTTTTTTTACCTGTGACACTTTGCTGGCTGGTTACCTTATGTATGACTAAAGCATAATATAACTAAAATTAAACTGCTGACATGTTATAAATTCCATTCTCTTGAGTATTATTCCTCTTCTACCTGAAAGGTGGATTGGGTGGCTGCATGGCCACCATATGCTGGAGTTTCAAAAGTAAGATTAAAGTATAATGTAACTAAAAATAAATCTAAAGAGGATTTTTATATACTGACTTATAAAACAATTTCATCCCTTTGAAATCACCCTAGATCAGCCATATATTGATGCAATTTACATTTTGTGTCCAACAGCTTACTATCATCACTATACTTGCATTCCTGAACAAGAGAGTCAGGATTAAACCTAAAATCTGTGATGGAAGACCTGGTTTAGTCTTGTAAGTAAATCTTATTAGGATATTTTGATGACAAGTTCAATTCAAAACTTCAATTCAAAACTTCAGTGAATTGCACCATGCA